AAAAAAAAAAAAAAAAAAAAAAAAAATGCAACATATATATAATTAAGTGGGAAAAAAGAGCAAAATAACCATGAGGACGCTTAGTTAAGCGGATTTATGTAAGCTGAAAGGAATTTCTTCGTAAAATCGCTTGCATAGCGTAAATTTCCACATATTTTCAGTTGCCACGCGCACTGTGGATGCCGCTGCACAATTTTTGCGCGTTAACCCGGGCAAGAAAGTTTGATTTGGCTTAGCTCGCTGGTGAGGCGCATGTTGTGAAGCGTTGCCAGCGTGGTTATCCTTGCACGGCGGTGGTTTCCTCTGCTCATCGTTTTTCCCTAACTTCTTTCTGCCCACGCTGGAACACCAACGCATGATGACGCGCCAAAATGACATGAATGGCGAGAAAAGGAACCATTTTGCAACAAGCACAAAAACTGGAAGGAGCTTCTCCACCGAAGTGTCCATATATAGTGCAACGGCGTAGAAGCAGTTACTAAAGGGCACTGGGCGGTGGAGCGAGAATTGTGTGAGGCAAGGGGAAGCAAAAAAAAAAAAAAAAAAAGACCCCATTTTCAGTACAATCAATGTATACACCACTTCCGCATGCGGATCATGTCGGTGGAAAGTTGGTGAATAATGGCTGGGGGGGACGTCGCGTTAAGGGGAGCGGCGCAAAGAGAGTGGCAGTTGCTCTCGGCGCATAGACAGTGGGACGACGAGCCCACGTTTCTCCCTGAAGGTAGCGCCATTCTGCCTCCTCATCGCTTACAGCTCATTGATTACAGTTCACCGCTTACCGCGCATTGGTATACAGCTCACCGACACACACCATGATAAAGCTAGAAGAAGTGTTCACGCTCGAAATTTTAATAAAAATTTTGAGCAAGATTTTCGTGAAGGGGAACTACTGCATAACGAAGGAAGACATCAACACGAAGAACTGCCGCGTGATGATTTTCGAGTCCAAGTTGGACGTGCCCAATTTGAGGAAAAGCGGAGATGAAGAATTCATAAACATGTTATTCTATTTTTATAACAAGAATTATTTGTTCTTCATTGTTTACTGTCTGAACAAGAAGAATATTGTTTATTTGAATTTCTTCAATCCCTTGTTAAGTGAGAAGGAAAGTATCGAGTCGATCAATTTGTTTTTTATTAACAACTTCTTCCCTCATATTATTTTGGGCCTGAACAATGGAAAAGTCTTCCTGTACAATCATGAAGGGATTATCTGCATGCAAAATAAATTCGCAGAGAGCAGAATAAAACATATTTTTGTGGAGAAACATAAGGAATATATTTTGTTGGTCTATGATAATAACACAGTTGTGAATACAAATATATATTTGATTAAAAGAGCGTTGGAAAGTAATTCTAAAATTTTACCACTCGACTATTCTTTTACTGTTAATAAAAATATGAGCATAAATCATATATTTTTGAGAAACTATAATTACTCCCCTGATGTTTTTAAAAAAGACTTATATTGCATATACAGTAGGGATGACTTGGGTAAGTATATCACGGATGCTATTATTTCAAATCAACCCCAGTATAACAGAATTGCCAATGCAAATTATATAATTACGTCCAAGACGATAACCATTTCCATACTTTGTCTCATTCGACAGAATGGTACTAATAATGACCTTTTAACAAAGAAGGAGAATTTTGGAGCCTCAGAAAAACTTAGTTCTAGAATTAATAATTTTTTGAAAAACATGTTTACAAAGAAGAATGATGCGTCCACGGTGGCGGTAGCAGGATCTGGTTCTGCAGCAGGGACGACTTCCCAATCTGTAGGACCTTCAGTAGGCTCTTCTCCCTCAAGAGTGTTGTCACTTCCCTCTCCAAGTGCTGCCTCCAGCTCTGTTGGCGCAACACAAGTCGCAGAAGCAAATGCAATCCCACACAATAATATGTCAAATACGTATGGGAGCGTAACTGATAATCTGAGCACACAAGTTGTTCACTGCTTTAATGATGCGAAGAGACAAATCATTGATTTGTGCATCTGCCCGTGGAATCAAAACTTGGTGTTGGCATTAGACAATTTAGGAAGGATATGTCTAATTAACATAAGTACGCTCACCATTTTACACATGTGGAAGAGTTACCGAGGAGCTTTTATGAGTTTTATTCAGAAGAGGAAATTGGGCACTCGTCATTCGAGTAACTTGTCCAAGGGTCGTGAGGGAGTTACTAGTACGAACGTAAGTGGACATGGGAAAGACGCAGAACAGATGGATGATAAGGCAATTTTTTTTTATCTCAAGACGAGAAATTTAATTGAAATTTGGGACCTCAGGACGCTGCACAAGTTGTATAGCGTGCGCACTTATGAAGACCCCCAACTCTTTAAAATATTTTTTGCCGACCATAACGTTCCTAATAAAATTTACTTCTTCAGCACCAGTCACCATGTCTTTTTGATGAACACCAACTTTGAGTTGTTTCATGTCAAGTGGCCGGTCTGACGCGATACGTTGTTTCATTGTAGTTCCCAGTAGCCAATTACATTACGCGGAATACGCATCGAGCCTTTTTTTTTTTTGCCCCCCCTTTCATGCGTGTCTACCCCTGTTATAATGCCTCGCTTGGCCGCAGGGCGACTTTTTTGCTCCGCGTCATTTTTATTAACCCATTGTCTCGTCCCTATTATATGTTCATGAATTTCCTTTTTCGTTCCTGTCATATCTGTGAAGAGACACCACCACCTCCTTTTTTTTAACAATTTGCCTCTACCTGCCGAAGCGCTTACAATATTGTGTATATGCCACCCTTTTTTTTTATAACGTTCGTTTATTCGCCCTGTCGCTGCTTTACCAGCTTGCCCATTGCAATTAGGTAAAAAAAAGTATATTAAAGGAAACCTCCCCCGTGTGGCCTGTTTGTTTTCATGCGGTGTGGTGCACTGGAGAGGATCTTCCTTTTGTTCCATCGGAGGGAAAATGTGTCTTAATATGGGTTGTGAAGAAGAAAAAAAAAAAAAAAAAAAAAAAAGGAAAAAAAAAAAAAAAGCTGACCGGGATGTCCCTACATCAGAGTATGTTGCGTCTCCGCAAGGCGGGGAAAATAATCGTGTGCGTGTGAACGGATTAGGTGTGAACATGTGTACGTATATATATATGTGTGTGTGCTTCTGTGTGCGTGTATGAACGCACGTATGTTATAAATGCGCATACGAGTGCACGTAGTGGTCATTAATTACGAATGGGGCGGGGCGCCTGCTGTTTGGGCGGCCTCCATTTGGGCATCAACGCTGGAGACGCTTTCTTCGTTAGCTTCGCCAACTTCATCTCTTCGTCAGCTTGGCCAACTTCATCTCGTCGTCAGTTTGGCCAACTTCATGTCCTCATCAGCTTCGCCACTTGGTCCCTTGCTGGTTTTGGATCAAGCTCTTTAGTGCCTTAGGGGGATGGACGTGTGGGTTGTTAGTGGGGGCGTGGCTGTGTGTGCGCGTCGCAATTTGTCCGATGAGCCACGCCGGGATATAACTGCAATTGTACCACTCCATATAAGAGGGAAAAAGGGATGGAAGGGAAAAGTTCCCCTCCATCAAAAAAAAAAAAGTCCCCCCTTCATGTTTTCCTTTTTCTTTCATCCTTGCGTTGTACCATAATAGTTTCATTGGTGGTGATGTCCACGTCCGCGTGCTTGAAGTTATATTTCATGCTGTCTTTCTTTGTGAATTTTTTTTTATAAAAATCTTGCATTGGTGGTGTGCAGTGCTGGTGCATGTGTTGTGGTGGGTACATTTGTTGCGCGTGGTAGTTTGCGTTTTTGTGGTGTCCACCCTTGGCGCCGCCGAAATGTTTGCTATTCCCGCCGAGGGGAAGTCCTCCCATGCTGCCTACACTACCCACACTGCCCAGACTGGGCATGGCGCTCATATCGTTGTTGGCCCCACTGGGGGTTCCATTCCTTGAAGCCTTCAAGAGGGACTTGAGGGAGTCCAAGACATTGTTCACCTTGGCATTTTTAATACTCTCCGGAATGGAGTTCTCTTCCACATTGTAGGCCACACTGCCGCTGTTGTCCCCCTGTGCATGATCATTATCTAGACGCAGTAACGAGTTGATAATGGGAGTTATATTTATGTTGCCTTGTGGAGCAGTGGTCTGATTTCTAACTGCTTCTTGGTTGGTACTATTAAATGGAGCAAAATGTTGAGCGTTGTGAATTTTTTTGCCCAGGGTGTTATTTGGTGAATTCGTTTTAACCTTGCTTCCGTTGTGTTGAAAAAAGGGGTGAGATGATCTCCTGTTGATAAGGATGCCATCCAAATTATTCAAATCATTATTGCTTCTGTTGAGGCCATCATTATGGACGGCGTCTGCCACGAGGTTACCATAGATCAAGGTGTTGTCTTCAGCGTAGTGTTTCTGGTGTCTCCTATTATACTGTTCGTTACTAGTTATATTTGCTAGGTTGGCCAGGTTAACCATATTTGCAATATTAGCCATGTTGGAGGCATTGGCAAGGCTAGCCAAATTGTTGTTTGTGCTGTTTCCACGGCTTCCGTGACGAGGAAGGTGGAAGCATGGGGAGTCATTCGTTATTCTATTAGAGTTACTCGATCTGAAAATGTCTAGGAGACCTTTTCCCCCATCTCTTGGGTGGAGTTCTTTATGCCCACTCCCAATATGGTGGTTGACATTTGCACCAACGTGATTCAAACTTGCCAAGCTGGTAAGGTGACTCATACCCACGTTGCTGTTATTGCCATGCCAGGTGTTATCGAATGGGTCATCCCCACGAACCCTGTTGTCTGCGTAATCCGAGCCACTTCTCTCTTTTAATATTGAAATTTGCTTCATTAGGAGCTCCGCTACGGTGCTGCTTATTTGGGGCTGATCGGTCTGCGTGGCCCCCAGGGGGTGTGCGCCCAATGCGCCATCATCCGCCTTGGCGCCACTTCCCCAGTTCGCACCGCCGCCAACGCTGCCAATGCTGCCCACGTTGCCAATGGGGCCGCCTTCGTAGTTCCTGCTCACTCTGGTCGCGGAGCCAAGGTCCCTCGGGCCATTTTTCCCTTCCCCAATATCCACACCGCTAGAATTATTACCATTGACGTAGGCCAAAATGTCCACAGGCTCCTCCTGATTACTAGCATTATTATTTTTAAACCATCGGGCGAAATTGCTTTTGGTAAGATTCTCCTCCTCATCATTGTCCTTAAAAATGCTGTAGTTGTTTTGGTCGGTGAAATTCTGATTCTTTGCCTTCTCATTATTCTTCCAAAACTTTTTTATATCACCCAGGGTGAATATGTCATTGTTGTTTCTCTTGGCGTAATGTGAAGGGTGATCCCAATATCGATCCGCTTCACTGGCTGGGTTTTTTTTTTTTTCAGAGTGGTCATGTGGACGGAGGTGATCAAATGGTGTGGACTGTTCCTGCCCCATCGACAAATCGTGCATCAGCGAGGTATCCCTACCACCGCCTACCTCCCCTGCATTAGAAAAATGAAACGCTCTCTTTTCCTTGTCGTATTTATTGTTCATGCCCATCTTGTTGTGGAAGTGGTTCTGGTTGGTCATGATATATTCTTGTCCAGTTAGGTGCATTTTCCCCTCATTGTCAATGAACAAATTATTCTCAGGCAAGTGGTATGAATTATTATCTACATTTTTAAAAGACCTAATGTTAAAGCTGTTTACCATGTGCGGCGTATAGCCTTGTTGGTGCTTATTGTTCTTGTAGTATTGTTCATTAAATGAAGGTCTTACTTTAACATAATTTGGGATGATGCCTCCCCCATTAGGGTTAATGGAAGTGGTGTTTAGTAGACCCCCAAAATTGGAGTAGCTAGGGAAATTAACATGGTTGCCATAGTTGGAGGCATACCCTGGGGTCATGACATGCATGGGGTTGTTCAGAGCAAACCTGTCTTGGTTAAATTTGTTCAGAGGAGGCTTGTTATTTTTATTTTCCTTGATGAAGCAGAATTCACTTGTGTTGGCTTCTTCCGGGTTGGTGGTGTGGGCGTCGCCCTTTACTTCCAAAAATCGCAGCAGCAGCAGCTCGTACAGGGAGTACTTGAGGCACTTTTGCTTCGGCGCGCGTTCGTTGTAGGTGGCTTCGTCCACGTCGGCCTCGGAGTCACTCAGTTCTGCGGGCTGTTCTACGGGCTGTTCCGCGTGCTCTTCTATGGAGTGCTTTTCGGGCTGTTCTGCTGGCTGTTCCTTTACCTCCCCGCTTGGTTCGTCAGCCTCGGTCTGCGCCCCCGCGTCGACCCCTCCGCGCCGACTCGAGCAGGGGCTGCTCACGTCCTCATAGTAGTAGTGGTACAGCGGCGTGTACGCACCCCCATTCTCATTAAAAATCACATCGGTGCTGATGCACGTTATCCTTTTGTATTTGTAAATGTGCTTGTAAGTTAATTTGTAAAGAGCATTATAAGATTTAAAAATTGAATTTCCATTTTTGTCCAACACTAGATCACACGATGCACTAATTGACTTGTTCTCACTTCGGTTATCAACGATGATAAAATTTGTCGAATCTACCATTTCGGCTTCAGACGAGGGATTAAGTGGATGGTGCCCCGCTGGGGACGAAACTTTTTATCCTATACCTTTCAAGGGGCGCAAGGAGGGATAGGTGAGTGCAATGTACCCGCGCGGGGGCTCTCTCACCAGGAGGTGTACCTAACGTATAACTATGCGTGCCGTTTGACTGGGCACACTACACAATTACGCATGTGCCTCTACCCGCCCAGGATAAATCTAATTTAAAAAAAAAAAAAAAAAAAAAATGAAACTCCTCTACATACGCCTATCAACGTGAATATGCATCGGTAGGGAATAACGATTCAACATTAACGAGAATTTAATTCAACGAAAAAAAAAAAAAAAATACACACACACAAACACACACGTGTACGCGTGTACGTATGCACGTGTGCATGTGCGTAAAAGCAGGCGATGTGTGTAGGTACAGATTCAAAACAGGATGGCGGTAGGCGCCAAAGACAGTTTTATTGCTCGTATGCTGCTCCACTTTTGGGGTGCGTTCGTTTTTGTGTGGCCCCTTGCCCAGGTAGATACACACAAAGGCTTCACGTATGTCTGCACATACCACCCTTGTTGTACATATGTGTATGTATATATATACACGCATACACACGTGTATACGCAGGTATACACTAATGTGGGCAGTCGGCCAGCACTACTTTAGTTGAAGGCCAAGGGGACGAACTCTCATTTTACGCGGGAGCAGATTTTCTCACTGATGCTCACAGGAACTTGCACAGGTTTTTCGCGAAGCCCATACACTCGTAAAAAAAAAAAAAAAAAAGGGTCTCTCAAACGAGAAATGCATATGGAATGAAGGGAAGCCGCGTGTACAAGTGGGCAAGTGAAAATTGTACCAATGTATGCGCACGAATGTATAAATTGTAAGTACATATGAATGCATATATATATGAATACCTATTCATGTATGTACGTACATGTAACAAGCGCGCATTGTACATGCCCGTACATGTACGGAATGTGAGTACAATATACGCTACACGAAGGAGAAAACAAAAAAAAGAAATGAAATAAAAAAATAAATGAAAAGAAGAAAAAAACATGAAAAAAAAAGAACGTATATTTATACATATGACACATGCACAATTACAAAAGATTAGAAAAAGAAAAAAAAAAAAAAAATCTCTTGTGCAATCAGCAGGACTGGTTTTCGCTTTGCATGCTGTGTCCGTGCGGTAGCATTCCGTTTTCGCTCTACACTTTGCAAAAATAATTAAAAAATAAAAGGCAGCTTAAATTGGTTTTCCCTTTTTATGGGTTGCTTCGCCTAGTTAGCGCATGAACCTTGCGGGAGTGTATACGGGACACGCTTTCCTCTCTATGGTGTATGTGCGCTGGGGTTGAATTAGGGGCTACGGTTTCTTACCTAAGCCATGCATGCGGGGGGTGACCAGCGGGTTCAGTTGCAGGTTCGCGCAGATTGCACCAGGCAAAATTAATCGCGTAAGGGAGGAAACAAAAGGCACACTCGTGTGGATTTGGTAAAGAGAAAGGGAAAAAAATAATGTGCACTGAGGTGTAGGTAACACGATGGAGAAGACCGTATCATAATATTATCTTACCTCTATGTGTACTCGCTTCCCAGTAGGTACATAAATATACGCACATGCATGGAACACATAAAGGGTTTGCTTGAGCACCCTTCCAATTTGTATAACGGTATGTGTAAACTCACTCATTCGTGTAGAACCATAGAAGCGGCTCTTTTATATGCAAGAGCTGTTAACAGAAGGGTCACCTTCTGAGCTTGTATGTAACATCAGTTTGTGCGAATGTGTGTGGGCCCGTAAACAGGCTTCCGTCCCACTGGGATGGTATCACACGTTCAACTAGTATGAATGGCAATAATTGACTTCACAAAACGGTTTCACCAAACACTTTTTGTTGCCTGTGCAACCACTGGGATGCAGGTAGACGCGGCAGTGGAGATGCGCTGGTGTAGACGCGCTCGCGTTAAGAACAGTGGAAGGGCAAGTGCGCAAGTTCTGTCCAAGTGTCATGTACATATATTAGAACATAATGGCGTGACGTTCTATGTAGGAGGGGCAGACGCCGCACACACACATGTACATTCGCCAGGATGCGTGGTGTAGGCAATTCTTCGCAGTGCGACAGAGACTGAAGCGAATGAGGTAGGTGAGGCGCCTTCGCCTTTCACACCTTTGCAGTCGCGTGTGATTGGAGCAGAGGTAAAACGGGAAGGTGAAATGGGCATGTAAAATGTGCCTATAATATGTACAGATAACGCGCTCGGGTGATAGAAGGAAAAACTGGTTTATGCATTTCAGACACTTCACACGTGAAGGGGGAATGGAATAACATGAGATAAGAATAAAAATGGAAAGGAAAAAAAAAAACAAAAAAAAAAAAAAGAGGAAATAAATGAATATATCAGATGAACAATAAAACTGAAGATTCTTCTAATATATAATTTTCACCCCTTTTCACAAATGAGCTAAACTGAAAAAAGTCACGGCATGTCATGAAGAGAACATGTGTGAGCTCATCCCATTTCGTTCCTTTTTTTTTTTTTTTTTTTTTTCCCATGATATGAACAATGTAGTGTATATACAGGGCGAACAAACGTATCGTCATATATTGTTTAAAAATGATGAGGACAAAAAAAAAAAAAAAAAAAAAAAAAAAAAAAAAGACTTTGCCAAAACCTTGGTAATTTTTTTTTTTAACATTTTGTTTTTCGAACTGTTTAAAGTGATTGTAATTCGTCTTAACTGGGACAAGAACGATGTAGCGTAGTAAATGCCACACGGATGGAGCTACAATGAGTGCTTCATTTTTCCCAATTAACATTTCTACACCATTGGAAAATTGTTTTTTTTGTCCCAGTGATTTATTTACACTGTTGCGTGGCTACTTGTTGTGTTTCTTTATCCAATGGAAAAATTTAATCCAAGTGTGCCCTCCCCCGTATTTCGTCATTTCTCCACTGCATATGTAAAGAATGGGCTACTCGTCGGCAGGGGTGAGTATGTCCAATTTGTTTTTACATGGTCGTGCTGACATGACCTTGTTTGTGGAGCGCACACATGCACAAACATATGCAGATAAAAAAAAAAATGGGCCCCTGTGCAGGCTTTACCCAGGTGATTTTCGCTGCCACACGATTGCTTTCAGCCCCCCAATGGAGAAAGCACAAAACCGTAAGACGTGTAAAAAAGCAGCGTCCATGTGCGCAGAAAAGAATTCGGAATAACGAAACAAAAAGGAACTGCCCTCTTCTATTGCATGCCATGGCTATCACAGCACTGTGCACAACGGAACATACATCCACAAAACTGATTGGCATATCAGCCAGTTGCCCTTCACACCCGCGTCACCTTCAACACTACGTTGGTGTATTTATATACACAATCTCTTATTTAAAAGGAAAAAAAAAAAAAAAAAGGTATTGACAGATTAAACCAGGTATTCTTACACGTTCGTATGCACGAAATTTACCTCTTCCCTTTGTCATTTTTTTTTTTTTTTTTTGTTTACATCTTTTCCATTGTGTTATATGGAACGACTTCAATTGGAAATATACTCGTCAAAAAACAACAGTCACATTTGTGTACACCCATTTGTATGCACCCAATTTGTATGTCCTTCTCGATTGACCAGCATGCACATAAACACAAAACCGCGACGGTTTTAATTAGACGTGGAGAAAATAAACTCACGTAAAAAAAAAAAGAAAAACATATGAAACGTTAAAAAAGCGACAGCTCAAAATGGGCAACATATACGGCACGTGGAGAAGACTCACCATCAAAGTTGTTCTGACTCGGTGAACGTTTCGTATACTCATCCTATTTTACTTCCTCTGCTTTTTGTAGGACCCCACATTGTTCTTCCAGTTGTTATGAATTTTTTTTTTTTTCTTATGGCCGCTTGGTAAAAAAAAAAAAAAAAACAAACAAACTGACACTTTTTTTACTAAGGCCAAAACCAACGGCCCAATTTACAACTTATACGTTATGATCATAATGCGGTTCATAGCGATGGAAAAAGAAAACAAAAAAAAAAAAAAAAAAACTTGATATACTTGGCCCTCTTTGAATGATTAAACTTCCCGCGGTGAACTGTTAACACTAAGTTTATGCTGAGTGGAAATTCACAATTTTTTTCTGGCTAAGGGTTAGAGGGGGGAATGGGCAACATTGCGTAGCTCATATTATTATATTTTAAACGATAACTTTTATTCTGCAACCATTTACCCACCGCCACCTCCGCTGTGGTTGTTTCATTGTGTGGCGGAGGCGCTGCGATGATGTGATGATGCGATGATACGATGATGGGTGATGCAGGGACGCGGGTATGCAGCGGAAGATTGCCCCTTTAACCCATCCCGCGTATGTGTGAATTCACGTGCGTAGGGTCTTCGCCCCTTATGTATGCGCTCGCGCAGCGTGCCCACAAAAGGGAAATATATGTATAAACATATTTATGTGAACATATTTATACGCGTACGTGCCAACTCCCGCGAAGGTACGCATTGCCCAGCTGGTCCTTTGCTGCGTGCTAGCGCAGGGAAAGGGAAACTGCGGTAAAGCAGCATTTGCGCCATCGCGCATGGCTGAATGCTAACAAGGGAGGCGCTTGGAAAAAAAAAAAAAAAAAAACGGCTCCCTCTAACGTTTATTGAAAAAGGGACGTCAGAGTGGACAGTCCCCCCCCCCATGTGTATACGGGAAGCTCACGCGTGAGATAGACCCCATCTGCCGATTACACCAGCGAGCCCCACCAACAAATGGAGCACGAGGAGGAGTTGAGTATTGAGGAAACAAACAAGCTGAGGGAGAAGCTAGGGTTGAAGAAACTAGACGTGGATGATAAGCAGGACAAGAAGAAGAAAAGGGGTGTCTCTAAAAATGAGGGTGACAACGAACCGAAGGGACGCGCCAAACGAGGAGGCGCCAAGAATGGGAAGAGTGGAAAGAAGGACGAAGGTGACGAAGATAACCAAGAAGCGGGGGATGCTGATGAAGGGGAAGACAAAAACGCACGCGGCAAAACGAAAGGGCCCCCCAAGGGAAGCAAAAAATCAACGCAAACGATCAGTGAGGAGTTTAATGATGACATAGACGATGTGGAAAAATGGATAAACAAAACGAGAAACGTCATGGATAAGAAGCTGGCCGATGATGAGGGCATCAAGTACAGTGACGATGACGATGAAGAGGAGAAAGGGAAAAAGAAAAGAAAAAAAAAAAATAACGTTAATCGCAGCGTGGCTAGTGGACATGCCACGGTGGAACACAAAAATGAAGAACTAACAGATGACATGATCTTGACATTGAAAGATCAACACGTCTTAAATAATGACGAAGAAAAAGACTACCTAATAAATGAAGAATTAAAAAAAAAAAATGTAAAAAGTTTACTAGCAAAAAATGATGACAGCTTTTGGAGAAAAAATTATTATGACCCCCTCTCGTACTATGACGATACAAATAAGCTGAATCCAGAGGATGGTTCAGATGTGCATATGATTTCGAAATACGACGAGACGAAGCACTCCTTCGATGTGACTATTAAATATGATGAGGAAGGGGGGGGAGGTAATGAAGACAATGATGATGACACTGCGCATGGTGGCAGAGGGAAAACGAAGGGAAAGGCGAGGGGAGCAAGGAACACCAAGAGTAGGAATAATAGACTCGAGGGTGAAGAAATGGGAGGAGGCAAGATACAGCAGACCCAGAAAACGCTACCAATGCGGCAATCGAGTAGCCCAGATGGCGGTGTCTTCAAGGTGAAGAAGAGAAAAATAAATAATATCAACAGGCGGAAGAAGGAGGAGGACGCGTGGGCCTTTTTGTATGACGAACCAGAGGGACAAGATGAAGAGGAGGTGGATGGGGAAGGAGGACAAGCAAAAGGGAGCGCGATGGAGAGAAATACAGCTGAGGGAAAAACTCGAGGGAACGAACAGAACAACGAAAACGCAAACGTCATAGAAGACGTTCTTAAAAAAATAAGAGACGAACAAACGAGCATGGACTTTAGCAGCTACTTCGATTACAATATGGGCGAAAACGAAGAGGACAAGGAGCTGTATGAACTTTTGCAAAAGGGGAATAGCCTGAAAAAGAGAAAAAAGGAAATGGATTACCAAAAGGAGCTCTTAAAATATATAGTTATAAACGAGGACGTGAAAAAGAACGAAGAGGTTAGTGGTAATGTCATTAAGTTGTCTGACGCGTCCGAGTTCTGCAGAAGCATAACGCTCCCAATGGAAATACAGGAAAGTGAGAACATGGCGAAGCTGCATAAAGGGTCGGGGGGGCTTCTTGACGCAGATGGAAGTATATCCCTCGGCGAAGATCGTTTATCCAATACGCTAGCTCCCCTCAGCGTCAATGCAAACGGTGACGATAACGATGACGATGAAGATGACAACAACATGAACTTGAGCGAAAACGCATTTTCCCAAGATGGGGTGTCCGAAATTTTTAACGAAATTAAAGTGGATGAGGGATTGTTCGGAGCGCTGGAGTATTTAAAAACAAAAGGAGAATTAAATATGGAAGAGAAAATTTATCGAAATCCGGAGAACAGACCGTTGCATATGTCCACGTCAAAGCATGACATAAAGCTGGACTACAAGAATGACTCGGGCAAAGTGATGACACCCAAGGAGACGTTTCGGTACATTTCTTGGGTTTTTCACGGCAAGAAACAGGGGAAGAATAAAATGGAGAAGAAAATGAGGAGGATGGAGATCGAGCGTCGTTTTAAGGAGGACCCCATGGGTTCCCTTCCCACACTCAACGTCCTCAAAAAGGTGCAGGAGGTCCACAAGAAGTCGTACTTCACCTTGTCGAATAATAACTGATTGAGGGGAAAAAACGTGGAGAAGAGGAGAACGGGAGAAGCGCAGTGGTGTAGAAGTGTGGAAGCGAAGGGCAGAGGTAGCCATTCTTACACGTGCAACTGTTCTGTACGCACACTCCGAACGTTACTCTTTTCCGAACTTTCCCCTTCATGACACCTCATTCTTCGCCGATTTGTGCAGAATACAGCTGCTATGCTGCGTTCGTACACCTCTTTCCCCTTATGAGCCTCCCAATGAAAAGGACGCACTTTTCCTACTTTGTGTCGAGTGTTTGTCCCTGCCGCAAACGCGCCGTTGCACACAACATTGCGTCAATTTTTGTTCATACATTTTTGTCCCCTTTTTTTTTGCACACATATTTGGCTATTTTTTTTTTTTTTTTCCCGTTTTGGCTGTTTGTTCATACTTTTTTCGAAGCGATTTTCGCGCGGCTCCCTTTTTTTAGTGCCCTCACGTGTGCGTACACACATGTACCGCTCTATTTGCATACGCACGTATGTGCCCATTTTTCCGTATTTACGTGAAAAGACCTACGCATTTTTAGTTAAATCGTTAAAAAGAAGAAAAAAAAAACATATAACTACAAAGTTTCGCAAGGTTTAAAAGGGCACCTTTACAACGTCGCATTAAATTAGGCAACAATGTCCGCTTGACCACGATATGTACGATAATTGTGTTGTTCGCTTGGAGGCGAACACAAGGAAGGTGCTTTACCCTGGTTACACCTCTCGCTCATCATGCCTTCTTTCTCTTCTCCTGGATGTACCTATCCAGCTTTTCGTTAAACTTCTTGCAGATGCTTATTTGTTCAAAAAGATGAATTAGCAGCGGCTTGCCCATGATAAGCACGCTGTTGTACTCCTCCTAGGGGGTAGCGGTGGAAAAAAAAAGGGAAGTGGGACCGAGTGGACAGCATTCGTTCGGAGTATGCCATATGGGCATTAATCAATTCAACCTCACTCTTCCCGTTTTGTGTACCCCACACACACATTAAAAAAAAAAAAAAAAAAAAAAAAAGCTAGCTTATAATCTGCCCTTGTTGGGGCAGCGCCTAGGCTTACCTGTTTGGCCTGTATCTCCTCCTTAATCTTGGACAGATTTTCCAGGATCTTGTTCCGTTTCTCCTGCTCCGGAACGCACGATGTGTAGAACAAGTTCAGCAAATAATTCACTTTCACATGGTAGTCCTTCACAATGTCGAGGATGTGCTGCTCGTACTCGATCGTGCCTATCAACATGGACTGGTTGCTCTGGCACTTCTTCGTGTTGGAGACAAACAGGAGTCTCCCTGCAGGGGTGAGAGGGGAAAAGGAGGAAAAAACATGGAGGAACAAAATGGGAAAACTTCTGCCCTTTGACAACGCACTGGGCAACTGATTACACGAATCCGCTAACGCGAGCCACTTGCACGAAACCTACCTATATTGAACAAGTCGGTGTAGTTCTTCTTGCCGGTGTGCTGCTTAAATGTGTTGAGCTGGTCCATGAGCGTGGCGAACTTTTGATTTAGTCGCTCCGCAGCCTGAGCCGACTCTTCATTATCTGCTTCACTATCGCAGGGCCGTTTTTTTTTTTTTTT